CCAAAGGAGTTTTGAATGTGGAATTGACAATCGGCAGCAAAACTGTTCCTACCACGTTTTTTGTCATCGATGGGAAGGGGTCCTATAGCCTGTTGCTTGGAAGGGATTGGATTCATGCAAATTGTTGTATTCCTTCAACCATGCACCAGTGCTTGATTCAATGGCAAGGTGACAAGATTGAGATCGTGCCAGCCAACAGGTCAGTTAACGATGCTAGCGCTGATTTACCTCTTTGGGAGATAGATGGTATTGATTGTTTGTCTAGAAAGATTTGGGATGGAGATTTTCTAAAAGTGTCCGATTGTGATATACAGCCAATTGAAAACGGAGAGCCCAAATTATTACTTTGAGGGCGTCGTGGAGGGTTCAAATGTCTACACCAAGGACACGGTAGATGATCTCGATAACAAGCAAGGGCAGGGTTTCATGTCGGCCGATGATTTGGAAGAAATCGACATAGGTCCAGGAGATAGGCCAAGGCTGACATTCATTAGTAAGAATTTAACAGCAGAATTCAGAACCAAGTTAATAGAGCTTTTGAAGGAATATAGAGATTGCTTTGCTTGGGAGTATTATGAGATGCCAGGACTCAGCCGATCAATTGTTGAACATCGGCTTCCTATTAAACCAGGAGTTAAACCATATCAGCAACCGCATAGAAGATGTAAAGCCGATATGTATGATGCTATCAAGGCTGAAGTTACACGTGAAGTTACACGTTTATATGATGCTGGTTTTATTCGGCCATGTCGATATGCCGAGTGGGTTTCCAACATAGTCCCGGTCATCAAGAAGAATAGCAAGCTTAGGGTGTGCATTGATTTTCGCGATTTAAATAAAGCTACTCCATAGGATGAATACCCAATGCCGATTGCCAATCAATTGATTGATGCAGCTTCAGGACATAAGATTATAAGTTTTATGGATAGCAATGCTGGTTACAATCAGATTTTTATGGCCGAAGAGGATATCCATAAGACCGCTTTCAGGTGCCCTGGTGCAATCGGTTTGTTTGAGTGGATTGTGATGTGTAACATCCTGAAAATTTTGAATCTGGAATACGGAATTTAAAAATTAAGAATAATCAAAAATCTTTTTAAAACCTTTTTTGCATGTTGGGATTTATTATGCATTTGTGTGTATTTAGGTTGTGTGCCAAAGATCTCGATTAAATCTTATCTCCTAGAGGGACGCCCTCAGTCCAACGTCCTTTCCTTCCATTATCTTCACGGTCTGATTTATTAAGTGCTTCGGTACTAAACAAATCACAGACCTGAATATATAACCCGAAAATCTTTTCTTATGTCGCAATGCGACATATCTTTCTCAATTCTTACCGTCCGGTTATTTCAAACCTTTTATTATTCCGACTCGATAATTCCCTCGAATACCTATAAACGATCGACGTATTTATTTATCGCACGTTGATTCGAATATCCTCAAATCCATTCCTACCGCGATGACTGGATTTGTATGCCACACGTCACCCCTAGAATCCTCCCTTCGCTATCATCGTTCGTTCGTGCGAGCACTCTCAAATAATCCTACGACGACCTATAAATTTGTTTGTCGGGCGTTAAGCCTAAACTCCTTTTTGGCATCACGGTGCATCCATCCAAACAAATCAAGTCTCGTATTACAATCCATTTATCCCGCCCTTGTGCATTCTCGGAATATCTATACCGACCCAAATCCAGTTATTGTCCAAGCTACAATACACCATATAATCCAATCCACATTTACAGTCCAAGTATATTTCTAGTCCAAACACAGAGCCAAAATCAATATCCATACTCTACAGTCCAAATGCACAGCACATTATACAGTCCCATTTACAAGTTCCAAGTACAGACTACCAAAGTACAAATCCCAGGAAAATACTAAGAACTCCTATTACAATTGGGCCATTTTCCTCTCTCTCCCAGCCCAACGAACAACCCAGCATAAGTCTATTTTACCTTCCCAGAGACGTAGCAGCCCACCCCTGTTATCTTTCTCAAGCCAACCCACTGAAAGTCTACTTTGCCTCCCCTGCTCAAAACAACAGGCATGCATGCACAAGAATTGCTCGATGAAATGCCTACAAGCCCAACAGTAGTTTGCAACCACTTTTGCCGGGCACACAACAGGAAATTGCACCAACCATCAAATGTCTGGGACCCCCCTCACCAACATGCAAAACCAACACACATACACCCATACCCCCATTCCACATAACACTCTCCAAACACATGCAAACACAGTGAGGAGGGCTCACACCGAAAAATAACACCAAGTTCACAGAGGGGAACTCACCTTGCCTCCCATGCAGACAACCACAACACCAACAAAAATTTTCACAATTTGACCCTTTGCAAAAACTATTTTTACAAATGAACCGTCACCAAAACTTATTTCAAAAATAACACTTGGCGTTGAATTTAGACACCTCAGCGCCAAATAGCGTGGCGCTGAATATGTGTTGGCACGCTCTCCAAACACATGCAAACACAGTGAGGAGGGCTCACACCGAAAAATAACACCAAGTTCACAGAGGGGAACTCACCTTGCCTCCCATGCAGACAACCACAACACCAGCAAAAAATTTCACAATTTGACCCTTTGCAAAAACTATTTTTACAAAAGAACCGTCACCAAAACTTATTTCAAAAATAACCCTTGGTGTTGAATTTAGACACCTCAGCGCCAAATAGCGTGGCGCTGAATATGCGTTGGCACGCTCTCCAAACACATGCAAACACAGTGAGGAGGGCCCACACCGAAAAATAACACCAAGTTCACAGAGGGGAACTCACCTTGCCTCCCATGCAGACAACCACAACACCAACAAAAATTTTCACAATTTGACCCTTTGCAAAAACTTTTTTTACAAATGAACCGTCACCAAAACTTATTTCAAAAATAACCCTTGGCGCTGAACTTAGACACCTCAGCGCCAAATAGCGTGGCGCTGAATATGCGTTGGCACGCTGACTTAGTCTCCCATCCGCGGTGGCACGGCATTCAGCGCCAGTTGACATAGCGCTGAGGTGTCTAAGTTCAGCGCCAGGTGATTTGGCGCTGACCAAAAGAGTCATTTTTAAAATAAGTTTTGGCAGCGGCTCATTTGTAAAAAAAGTTTTTGCAAAGGGTCGAATTGTGAAAATTTCAGCAACACCAAGGAGCCTATATAAACACCACCACAGCCATGCACCCCTCCATTTTTCTCCTCCCCTCCCTGATCAAGCTCTGTAACTACCACCACTCCGTTCCCTCGCGCATTGGCTGCCACCTCTCCGCTTGCTCCGCCGTGGCCGGCTCCGGCTGGGCCTCAGTTGAGCAAGAGGACAGGAAGTCCGCCGCGCCATTGATCAGTCTGAGAATGACTAACTTTGAACGACTAACCCCTAACATCTAACCCTTTTGTTGTTCTGTTGCACTGACTCACTAACCCGCTGACTCTTTACTTTCAGTTGTCCTAACCTCTGACTCACTGACTCACTGACCTTTCCATTTTTGTTTCGCTAACCCGCTGATCCTTTCAGTTGTGTGATCCTTTGTTGTTGGCAATCGAAAGCGTAGTGTGCGAGGACGATCCGCGAGCCAATCACCGACGCTCGGCGACCATGCACGGTGTGCCGCTACCCGGCTGCCGCAAGGTGTGCAGCTTCTCCTCCGGCTCACTCTCCCCATCGCCTCCTTCCCTTTCCAACCGCCGGCCTCCTCCTCTCCACCCCTGTCGAACTCCATCCCCTCATTGTCATTGGCCTCCGCCACTGAAGCCGCCATCATCGTCGTCCTCATCCCAGCCAACCCCCAACTCCGCACTTCACGTCGCCATGGCGCCAGGCTACCGCCATACGCCACCCTGCCCCGCCGTGCGCGCGGCTGCGCCAAGCCGCCGCCGCACCGCGGTGCCTCCCTCGCCTGCGCACAGCCCAACCGCTGCCGCCCGCGACGACACCCCGACCTCCTCCTCCCAATCCTCCTCTCCCTCGCGCCGTCGCGCTGAGCCGCACGCGGCCTAGCCGCCTTGTCGACTCTCTCCACCGTTCCCCACATCACCGAGCCCCCTCCCCTCTGTCTGCTGCGCGCCAGCCCCGCCGCCGTCGCGCCTGACCGCCGCCCCGATCTCTCCAGGGCCGCGCCAGGACCACCGCCGCCTCCCTATTTGATACTGGCATCCATCCTCACCATCAAGCTCCACCCCTCCGCGGACCCTCTCCCCACTGCGACAATCCTCCCCTCCCCATCCCCCACCGCCTCCTCCCCCCTGCGCAGCCGCGTGCCGCCCTGAAGCGTCGTCGAGCCCGGCCGCCGGTCTGCCGCATCCACCCCCGCGCCAGGCCGCTGTGCCAGCTGCGCCGCCGCACTCTGCCCCGCCCTCACCGTGCGCCGCCCCGGCGCCGTCGCCCAGGCCGCCGCCCCGCGCACCCCAGGCGCCGCCTCCTGCTGCGCCGTCACCGCGCCGACGGCCTCCCCTCCATTCCACCCCACGCCGCCAGCACCAGCCCTCTCCCCACCGCCGTCGACCCTGTTACATCCGGCACAACTGATGACGAACAGGAACAAGTGTCCAAGGTCGTTGGCTCCGTTCTGAGTACGGCCCAGCAACGGCCTGTTCGTGTAACTAGGCCCAACCCGAAGTATAAGGGTGGAAACTGGGTTAACTAGCTGTATATAAAGGAGAGAGAGAGAACCGGGAGTCATGACATGTAAAGACAGAATTCCCAACTCAATACAAACTCAATCTCTCTCTCTCTACAACTCTGTCTTTCTCTCTGCTTCTCTTCCTCTATTCCTCTCAAACTGTCTCTGATTCTCTGAAAATATCTTACCACTCTTCCAAGTTGGTAACATTTGGTATCAGAGCCGCAATCCTGGAGAAACCTCGGTTCAAAACTCGTCTTCAGATCCAAGTCGACGACATGGCGAAGCAAAACGAGGGATTCGAGAAGACTCTGTTGGAGATTCAAGCGGCGATCGGAACCATGGTCGTCAAGCAAGGAGAGACATAAGAGATGCTGCTCAAACTGGACAAATCTGTGGCGGGGTGGCGACCTCAAGTTGATGCTGCTGTACAAGGGTTGCAGCACGACATGGAGGAGCTGAAGCTGCATGTCCTCAAGTTGGAGAAGCAGAGCGAGGAGGGCGGCAATTCGTCGAACACCTCGCAGGCGTCAAGGATGGCGGAGGAAGGGAGTCACCAAACTCCTCTGCTTCCTACGCCCAGCACGCTGCCGTTGTTTTCCGGAACAGCGGCGAGCGATCTCGGTCCAGATGGCCATCGCGTCACAAATTTTCACCGGGGGAAGGCATCGGGGGTAGTTCATACTCTCGGGCCACCTCCGGTCAAGGGTACGTTCCAGATTCCCACTAAATTTTCTGTTCCTCATGGGGTTGAGTTTGGCGCAAATTCGAGTCGGGGAAATCGGGATTTGCATGGGGAGCAAGGGTTCAATCATAGGCTACCGAAGTTGGATTTTCCTCAGTTTGATGGTTCGGATCCACAGAGTTGGAGGATGCGTTGTGAGCATTATTTTGGGGTTTATGGAACTCATCCAAATTTGTGGGTTCGGATAGCCACCATTTACTTCATGGGAAGGGCAGCGTCTTGGCTACGTTCATCTCGTGCTCATGAAGTTTTTGTCGATTGGGGTCGATTCTATGAAGCGATGAACCGAAAATTCGACAGAAATCAACATCGGCAACTGATTCGACAGCTTGATCAGATTAAACAAACCGGTTCAGTGAGCGAGTTTTATGAACGGTTTGATGATCTGATGAATCAGTTGTTGACGTATGATCCTATGTATAACACTTTGAATTTGGTTCACCGGTTCATAGAAGGGTTGCGTTTTGACATTCGCGAAGCTGTTTTGTTACATTGTCCCGAGGATTTGGAGTCTGCTCTGGTTTTGGCTCTATTACAGGAGGAGTTGTCTGAGCGGAATCAAGAGCAAAGGAAATTTGTGGATGGATCGCAGAAGTTTAAAAATGCATATCCATTACCATTGCCACCAACCAAGGTTTTGAAAACTGAGGAGAAGAAAGGCGGAGAGCTCAATCGGGGTACTAATCTTTCTGACAAGGTTAGTGCACTTCGATCGTTTCGTCGTGCACAAGGTTTGTGTTACTTATGTGCCGAAAAGTGGTCGCCGACACATAAATGTTCAGGAACAGTTCAGCTTCACGCTGTTCAGGAGCTCTTTGCACTATTTCCTGACAATGCAAATGAGGATCAGGCTAGCATATCTTCTGAAGATAGTGATTCTTCCTTGTTAGCTATGTCAGTTCATGCAGTTCAGGGTACTGATTCTCAGTCTACCATTCGGTTACAAGGAAAAATTCAGGGGTTGAATATACTGATGCTTGTAGATTCTGGTAGTTTGGCTAGCTTTATCAGTGATCAATTGGCTGACCGTCTTACTGGAGTTCAGTTCTTAGCTCATCCTCTGTCTGTTAAGGTGGCCAATGGACAGGTGTTGCATTGTCAGAAAGAAATGCCTTCTGCTGAATGGTTTGTTAGTGGTCAGAAGTTCTTGACCACATTTAAAGTGGTGGCCTTGGGAGGTTATGATGCAATCTTAGGCATGGATTGGTTAACTAAGTATAGTCCAATGCAAATTGATTGGCAGCTTAAGTCTATTCACTTGACAGTTATGGGTCATGAGGTTTTGTTGCGTGGGGTGCAGTCCGATACTTCTGATTGTGCCTTGATTTCTAGTCAGCATTTACAGCATCTGCACAGTATCGACTCAGTGGCAGGTTTGGTTCACTTATGTGCTTCCCTCAGTGACTCTACAGACCAGTTATCCTCAGTTCCAGATGTTGTCTAGTCTTTGGTACATGAATTCTCTCATTTATTTGAGGAACCCAGTGGATTACCTCCTGCTCGAGATTATGACCATACAATTCCTCTAATTCCTGGGGCTGTGCCAGTTAATGTGAGACCTTACCGTTATACACCTGCCCAAAAGGATGAGATCGAAAAACAGGTTAAGGATATGTTACAAAAAGGAATTATTCAGCCAAGTGCTAGTCCTTTTTCTTCTCCTGTTTTGTTAGTCAAAAAGAAAGATGGCACATGGAGGTTTTGTGTGGATTATCGCCATCTTAATGCTATCACTGTCAAAAACAAGTATCCTCTTCCAATAATTGATGAGTTAATGGATGAATTGGCTGGTGCTTGCTGGTTTTCTAAGCTTGATTTGCGTTCGGGGTATCATCAAATTCGGATGGCAGTTGGTGAGGAGGCTAAGACAGCTTTTAAAACTCACAATGGTCATTTTGAATTCAAGGTGCTTCCCTTCGGACTTACGAGTGCTCCAGCTACCTTCCAGGGTGTGATGAATACAGTTTTAGCTGATCAATTGCGTCAAAATGTCTTGGTCTTTGTTGATGACATCTTGGTATACAGTCGCACTTTGGAGGAGCACAAGAATCATCTGCGTCAGGTGTTTGAGACTCTGAGTAAGCATCAGTTACGAGTCAAATTGTCTAAATGTTCTTTTGCACAAACTCAACTGTCTTATCTAGGGCACATCATTAGTGCTGATGGAGTTTCAACAGATCCAGAAAAGATTCAGGTGGTTCGGCAATGGCCAGTTCCTGTATCTGTTAAAGATGTGCGCAGCTTCCTAGGTTTGGCAGGGTATTATCGCAAGTTTGTCCGACATTTTGGCATCATTAGTAAGCCATTAACTAAGCTATTGTGTAAGGGGCAGCCTTTTATCTGGACACAACACCATCAAGAAGCTTTTGACACTTTGAAACAGAGTCTGATATCAGCACCGGTGTTGGTCATGCCCGATTTCCAGAAAATGTTTGTGGTGGAGACTGATGCTTCTGATCGAGGTATTGGTGCTGTGCTGATGCAAGATCAGCATTCGGTGGCATTTTTGAGTAAGGCTTTAGGACATCGGACTCAAGTTCTTTCCACTTATGAAAAGGAAAGTCTGGCTATTATTCTTGCTGTTGATCATTGGCGCCCGTATTTACAACATGATGATTTTTTAATTCGCACTGATCACCGCAGTCTGGCCTTTCTTGATAACCAACTATTAACCACCTCTTGGCAATATAAAGCAATGACTAAGTTGTTGGGTCTTCGTTATCGTATTGTGTACAAGAAAGGATTGGAGAATGGAGCCGCAGATGCTTTATCTCATAGATCCTCTGATGGTCTTCCAATTTTAAGTGCATTATCTGTTGGTTTACCGGATTGGTTACAGGATGTTGTTTCGGGTTATAAGTCTGATCCCGAAGCTCTTCAGCTTTTGCATTCTTTTAAGGAAGGCACATGTCATTCTGCTCATTTTGAGTTGCAAAATGGTATTCTTTATTTCAAGAAACGTGTTTGGGTGGGCAATAATAGGCAGCTTCAGCAGCAAGTTCTGGCAAATTTGCACACTGCTGCTCTAGGGGGCCATTCTGGAATTCAAGTAACTTATCAGCGAGTTAAGCAGCTGAGTTAAGCAGCTGTTTGCTTGGCCAGGTTTAAGGCAAACTGTGCAGGATTTTGTGCAAAGTTGTGCAGTCTGTCAACAAGCTAAACCTGAACATGTGCCTTACCCAGGGTTACTACAACCAGTTCAAATACCTGAACATGCTTGGCAAGTCATATCAATGGATTTTATTGAAGGATTGCCCCGTTCAGCCTCTTATAATAGCATTTTGGTGATTGTGGATAAGTTCACTAAGTTTGCCCACTTCCTGCCTTTATCCCATCCTTTCACTGCTGTGTCTGTGGCGCAATTATTCATGGACAGAATTCATTCTATACATGGACTACCGCAGGCCATCATTTCTGATCGTGATCGAGTGTTCACCAGTATTTTTTGGAAGGAATTGTTTCGGCGTTCTGGCACTCAGTTACAAATGAGCTCTTCTTATCATCCACAAACGGATGGGCAAACGGAGCGCGTGAATCAGTGTTTGGAAATGTTTCTGCGCTGTTTTGTTCATGCCTGTCCATCTAGATGGAGTAAGTGGTTATCTCTTGCTCAATTTTGGTACAACACTTCATTTCATTCAACCTTGATGTTGACTCCCTTTGAAGCAATGTTTGGTCATAAACCTCGTCATTTTGGGCTCTCAGTGGATTCTGTTGGGGTGCCTAGTGCATTGGATAGTTGGATGCAGGATCGTCATAATATGCAAAGCTTGATTTATCATCATTTGGTTCGAGCTCAACAACGAATGAAGAGTCAGGCTGATTCTAAGCGTACTGATCGCGTGTTTGCGGTGGGTGATTGGGTTTTTATGAAGCTTCAACCTTATGTGCAGCAATCTGTCATGACTCGTGCTAATCAGAAGTTGGCTTTCAAGTTCTACGGGCCCTTCCAGATCCTTCAGCGCGTGGGTTCTGTTGCCTATAAGTTACAATTACCTGCCACCAGTTTGATTCATCCAGTGGTGCATGTGTCTCAATTAAAGAAAGCAGTAGCTGCCTCTGAAGTTGTTTAATCAACATTACCACGTTTGGATCCTGATTCTGGGCATCTGGCTACTCCAGTAGAGGTTCTTCAACAGCGGCTACGTCGTCATGGTGATAAAATGATTGTTCAAGCTTTAGTTCACTGGTCTGGTACTTCGTCATCCACCACTTCTTGGGAAGATCTGGAGGAGTTAAGGCATCGCTTTCCTTCTGCCACAGCTTGGGGTCAAGCTGTGTTTCAAGGAAGGGGGAATGTTACATCCGGCACAACTGATGACGAACAGGAACAAGTGTCCAAGGTCGTTGGCTCCGTTCTGAGTACGGCCCAGCAACGGCCTGTTCGTGTAACTAGGCCCAACCCGAAGTATAAGGGTGGAAACTGGGTTAACTAGCTGTATATAAAGGAGAGAGAGAATCGGGAGTCATGACATGTAAAGACAGAATTCCCAACTCAATACAAACTCAATCTCTCTCTCTCTACAACTCTGTCTTTCTCTCTGCTTCTCTTCCTCTATTCCTCTCAAACTCTCTCTGATTCTCTGAAAATATCTTACCTCTCTTCCAAGTTGGTAACAGACCCCTTCCTGCCACATCCCCACAGCCAACCGCCGGCAGCACCAACTCCTTCCGGCGCCCCTCGCCCGGAGCCTCCCCCACCTCTCCGCCCTCCTTCACCGCCGCGACAGCCGCCGTCGCTGCGCCGTGCGGTTCCCCCTCTGTCTCGGCTCCGGCGTGGGTAGGAGAGAAGAAGAAACGGGAAACGAGAGGAGAGATCGAGAAGGAGAGAAGAGAAACGGATAAGAGAGAAGAAAGGAGTGGGACCCACTAGGGGCCGCTGATCCGCGACCAGTCGCGCGGCCGCGCGCGCGCGATCAGGTGCCCCCCTCTAGTAGTCTAGTCTGATCTCTTATCCTATGGAGTACTACTATTTATATGTATGCACTTTTAATGTATAAAAGATACACATGTATATAAAGTTTGTGTGTATACATATAAAAAAGGAATAAGTCTACATAACCCCCTAATGTACTGTTGGTTGATTACTTAGCCCCCTGACCTAACAAACCAGGTATTTAACCCCTTAAGTTTGTTAATGCCGTTTACTTAACCCCATACGGTGGTTTTTAACCTGATTTTGCCCTGCTGGCACTCCACGTTGGACAGATGGGCATGCATAAAAGATTCGAGCGGTTCGCCAAACAAACATACCCCCACGACTTCTCCTCGTTCTCTCCGGCGGCGCATCCTCCGCCTCTGCCTCCCCGGCGAGACGAAGCGAGCTGATGTTAAGAAGTGGATCCACTTTATCGGATTGCAGAGCCGGGCAAAGGTGAGTGTCTGCAACTCGTTTTTGTGTTTTTTTTTCCCAATCAGATCGTTGTCACTCCAAGGATTAGGGCTAATACTACAGGGGTTTTTAGTATTGATATTTTGTATTTTCTCTCTGCAGTCTAGATGGTGCCATATTGTGGGTAGTAAGGCTCATCGATTTCAATGAATTTCTTGTGGTAAATTAATTAGGTGACTTGACGATTTTAGTGTTTAGGTCTTTATGTATCCCCGCGCGCCCATCGATCTGCCGTGGCAGGCCTATCTAACGTGGAGTGCCAGCAGGGCAAAACCGGACAAAGAAACCACTATAAGGGGTTAAGTAAACGGTATTAGTAAGCTTAAGGGGTTAAATACATGGTTTGTAAGGTCAGGGAGCTAAGTAATCAACCATCAGTATGTTGGGGGTTATGTAGACTTATTCCTATAAAAAAATCTAAAATATACGTGTATACAAACTTTGTATACGTGTATACAAAGCTGGTATAAGTATGTATAAAAACCAAAAAATACACGTATACAAACTTTATATACACGTATATACAAAATTTATATACGTGTATACAAAATTTGCATACGTGTATACAAAATTTATATACGTATATACAAAGTTTGCATACGTGTATACAAAATTTATATACGTGTATATAAAGTTTGTATTTGTATGTATACAAAGTTTGTATACGTGTATACAAAATTTATATACGTGTATATAAAGTTTATATTTATATATATACAAAGATTGCATACATACGTATTAAAAAGGGAAAACAGAAAAATATACGAGAAGAAAAAAAAGAAAAAAAAGAAAACCGAAAAAGGTACGGAAGAGAAAAAAAACAAAAAAAAAGGAAACCGTACACCGGAAAAAACGGACCGTACGCACGTCGTCGCCGCCTCCTCTCCACGCGCGACACGTGTCCAGTCGCGCGTGGGAGGGTGAGCGCGAATAGTCGCGTATTAGCCGTTTCGCCCACGGGAGGACCCACGTTCTAGCCCCTTCCTCTCTGAGTTGACTTCCCCCTAGAAGTCTACATCACCACCCTATGCTTTAGTATAAAAGCCAGAGAGATTTTTCACCTACTGAAGTCTACATAATACCCTTCGCAGAGCCTACCAGTAGCCACCTCATCCACTAAAGTCCACAACACACCCTCTATACAACCCAGAGCCTTCTCATGAAGTCTAAACCACCTCCCTACCCGAGAGTGCTTCATCCTCCGTTTATAAGTCCTTCCAAACATCGAAAATCCATATATTTCCAACCGTAACTCCGATTGCCTCCATTCAACTTCCATAATCCCTCTAAAATCGAGATCTATTTAATGGCACCATTAGTTGTATTGAATGTTGCTTTATTTTATTTCTTTTAGGATTGTGCGTGGTTATTCTTTGGTTATTTATCGAACGTACCGGATATTTATCGATCGTGGGAATTCTAGTTATCTAACTGAAGCAGTTATCTCGAAGACATTAGGACCGATAGCAAGGCAAGTCACTACGCTCGAACATATCGATCCTATGTTACAAATGTGTTGTTTTGCAAATAAATTGCATGCTATTTATAAATTGCATACCTACATTTGATTATAGCCTGCCCTTGATATTGATTACTTTTATACATATTGTACGCCTTTTAATGCCGGAGTCATTTATTTATATGCGGTCAATTATTGAAAACGCTTAGCAATGCTATTGTAGACATGCGTACACTTCATATTTACGCTAGATGATTATGGATGTGAGATCACTCGATGAGAGTGATTGATGATTTGCGGGTGGAGACATGAGTGCCACCCGCCACACACAAACCGTTTGCGAAAACCAAAACTTAATACAACAAAACTTCGACTAGGGCGGCAAGAATAGAATATGGGTGGTTCTAGGAAACGGTTAGTCGCCGACCCTGGTCAATTAAGGACCGAGTCAGGAAACTATGCAAGAAACGAACCGAGTACGACCACATTTCAGGTATGGGCAGACCCGTTAGATTAGGACACTCTCGCAAAGCGGTACCTCAGTCATGGCAAGTGCTGTATGTGAGCGTTGAGTATAGTGCAGTGTTGGAAAGGTAAATGACGTCAAGAAATGAAATTTTAAAACACACCATAGACAAGTAATTAGGTACCCCTTATCCCTGGAGCGCCAGGACTCCCCTCACTATACGGCAGAGGAGTTAGGAGTGCCCGGGTGCAATGGGGGTTCATAGTCCTTGGAGTAGGTACCGAAGAGCGAGAGTGACTGAAAAACCGGGCCGTGGCGAGTTTCATGTGTTGGGACTAGGCTCATGTGTTGGGCAAGCCACGGAGTGCGGGATTAAAAGCGTACATCCACTGCAATGTGAGTAAATCAATCTATTCGAATAGCCGTGCTCACGGTTAATGAGCGTTGGGACTTGTATTACACTTGACTAGACTCATAGATTTTAATACTGCATAGAGTAAATATGAGAGACATCTGAACCTTGCCCAAAGAGTGGGAAGGTTAGTATAGTAGAGTTGGTATAAGATGAAATGAGAGGGTAAACCGAACCAAGCGGGGCTTGGAAAGGTGGATGATGTAGGACCGAGATGTCGACTAGAGGGGGGTGAATAGGCGATTTAAAAACTAAATGACACCTAATCAAAACTAACCTAAGTTGCTAGGCTCGGTGAGGGTTAAGTCTGACTAAGCAACTAAGTTATGTTTTGCAAACCTAGGGTGATAGTGGCTCAATTAATTCTCTAGGAAAGTAAATCACACTCCTATGTCAATGTTTTGCAATCCTAGGGTGATATGATTTCAAGAAAGTCTCTAGGAATGTAAATTGCGCAAATGTAAATGCGACAATCAAATGAGACAAGGAGACAAGAGATTTTTCACCGAGGTTCGGAAACTCACCGGTTTCGTACTCCCCGTTGAGACGAGCCCAACTCCACCACTCAACCACGAAGCCACCGCACGCCCCCTTCGTCAAGGAGTGGGCAAGGCGGGAGCCGGCCCACGGAGAGGACTACCCAAGCCTCGATCACTCGGGGTAGTTCTTCCTTTACTCCGAAGGCGGTGAACTCCAAACCACTCACAAAACCGGCACCGGGCCTCCTCCACAATCTTCTCGGAGAGGTCACCGGGCAACTCCTCCACAAGCCGTCTAGAAGGCGGCAACCTCCAAGAGTAACAAGCAATGACCTGGTGTGGAGATGATCAATCAAGTGCCACACTAGCTCTATAAATGGAAGCAATGCACTTGACTGTAGGCTAGAACAACCTCAACCACTATAATGGATGAACACTAAGCTCAAAGGTGTGTGAGAGAGGTGCAAGGGTGTATGCAATTGAATTGGGTGCCAAGAGAGCCCCCTTGCTGCTGGAGGGGGAGTTTTTATACTCCCACCAACCAAAACTAGCCGTTGGGGGCGAAATCCCCCAACTCTGTGCTCTACCGGTCTGACCGGAGGTATGTGGCCGGTCAGACTGTGCTACTCTGCAACGGCTAGAAAACTAGCCGTTGTAGCCCTGTCAGAGGGCCCCATCGGCCTGGCCGGTCAGACCGACATGGGGTGGCCGGTCAGACCGCCCTCGGCTCGGTCAGACCGCCCTCAGCTCGATCTGACCGAATACGACTCCGTCGGCTCTGTATCCCCCAAACCAGAGCATGACACTCCCAGTCTCCAGGGGGCCGGTCTGACCGCGCATGTGCCGCCGTTCAGACCGGCCTTATGCACCGGTCAGACCGCCGTCTTGTGGTCGGTCAGACTGGCCAGGGCACGCCGGTCAGACCGCCACTATGCGCCCCTGGTCAGGCCGAACACAGTGAATCTGTGTGTGATATGAAAAGTGTGTGTGTCCTCTCTAATCCCATTGTAATTAATCATCAAAATCATTAGGGGCCTAGATGCACTTTCAGGTATACCGTTCGGACAGTGTGATACCGGTTAGGTATCAGGTATCACGTGATACTTCACAAGTATCACCTGGTAGCCTGATACCTGAACATGTATCATCCCGTCCGAACAGGATACTGTCATGTAGCATTTTCGTTTTTTATGCTCATTTAAAAATATTTTTGTCATTTGTGGTTGTC